CTTTAAATCCCCATCGGGCTCCAAGTTCGCCAGGGAGCGCGGGGGCTGTCCCTTTGTCACACAAGCACTAGATCTGCTTAGCAGGAAGACAATCATTACCGGAAGAAGAGCTTACCGCTGATAGACAATAACACAATGGGCCCAAAGCTCCGAGCGTCTAATCATTTCCGCTTCTGAGGGTGCCGGAAGTCTCTTCCTTTTTGAGAATTCATGACTAGACATAGGAATATGCAGGCCATTCTGCATTGCAATATGTAGAAGCATACCGCTCAATGGAAACGTCATGTCCACCATGTTAACATCCTTTGGGAATGGCCATGTGAGAACCAGCAGCAGTCCCTGGATACTGTGCCACGCAGAAGCCCCTGACGCAACTGAAAGAAAGGCCATCTCGTTCACATTACGCGCAAGCGCAGTCAACAGTGTTGGGTTTCTGGGATAGGTTCGGGATGCAATACCGACTATAGACCAGAATAAGAATGGTGACTGGGTATAGAACGCGTTCGGCGTAGTCTCTGGGTCTAGAATCGGAAGAAACGACGCATATTGATGGAAGAATCTGTCTTGTGTCAGACGCGGCCAACATCGCCCTTATACAAGTGTACGCACATGTGAAATAGATCATCAATCTCACTTCCTGTCAAATGAACATTGTTCAGTGAACGCGGCTCCGTAGAATCAGAAGCGCGTATTCCCGTCACGATTTCGGGACCTGGCAACAGCGGTGGTCCTAGCCCGATGGAAGGGAGTAATTGTTGCTGGTGCTCAACCACAGGTGTATGGGATTCAGTATGTACTGTCAGTTCGCCCGCGCTGGCTGCTGAGTTTGATTCCATTTCCGCTGCAGCCGTCAGCATAGCAATAGGTGAGGGTCGGGGGTCGTTGGGTTGTGTATATCTCAATCGCCGTCGCAGCTCGTCTGCCTCTTGTTCTAACTCGGAAAGTCGCCTGTTGTGAGATGAACAGTAGTGAGCATTTTTCAACCACTGTGAATATAGATGGTACGTACTTGCGCTTGTGCTCTCGGCGAAACGGATCAGAAATAATACAATGAATGTTCAGCTTGGAACACCGGGAACATGGCTGATCAGGATTTAGGTAGGCGTCACATTTTGCCTGTAGTGCTGTTAGGGAATGGCCATTCATCAATAGCAATTTTCCCTTTCTGTGCCCACAATAGAGAACTCAGTGTTTTAACCTTTCCTACCTTCTGCTGCCTACATTCCGTGCAAGCCTTTTTGCCCCGTTTCACTGATGGCGAGGGCCTAGTGCAGTCTCACATTAGTTGTGCTCAGGAGTGGTTCTTGGGTGAGACCAGTGGTCGAGTCTCAGGTATTCTAGATCCCTTACGTTCGTTCTGGAGGGTCCATTGCAAGAGAGGCTGCCTGGGTGCGGGCCTGCTCTCTACGACTGGATGGTTGATGCAGTTGCTGTTGCGATGACGATGGGGGTTGAAGACGCCTGCGGCCAAGATTCGGCTCCGGGGGTGCGTGCGGAGATAGCGCCATCCTAATCTCCGGTGAATTGAACAGAGTGAAGAAGAGTCTAGAGGCTTGGAATGTAACAACGGGCAACGTTAGTTGCCAAGGGATGAACCGGGTAGTTAGTAAGTCTTTGTTTGATGACGAGAGACGAATGAAGACGTAGCCAGGTCGCCTATGATCATAGTGATGCTGAAACAACGTGTGGTAGTCTCAGTCAGCATCCGACAAAGTACAATCTCAGTTGACATAAGAGGAAAGGAAAGTGACTGCGCATATGGATAATTCCATCAGTGATAAGTTAAGCCTACCAACTTGAACTGATTCTAGCCGCCTACGGATCAGATCCATCCACTGGAACCAACCCACAAGGCCTTGCTCAGCCGGAACCGGCATGACATTCCGGTACAAGAGATGACATGATTGGCTCAAATCCCGGTACCGGCTTTCCACGTATCGCTATTCTTCGACTTCTTCGACTACCGTGACTGAAACATTGAGTCTACAAGCGTGTAGTCTAATCAAAATTATAAACATCTACGGGATGGTTCTGACTTTGCTGCAGGTCACCATCAAGAATTATACAACTGAAGGTCCAAGACGTGGGATATATATTGCTGCAGAATGACGTTGACCCTTGTGCTCAACCTCCATCCATATTTAGTTGTTGAGATCGTTGTTGGGCTGGCCCCATAGCGTTTGAGGACTTTTCTTTTTCCTTTTCAACAAAAAAACTTCAAGTGCCATGGAGTTTTGGAGGAAACCATCCCACAAGGCAGATAGCATAACCGGTAGGAAATTTTTCCCTTAACAAGGAAAGGATACCCGGTTTGTCATATGTCCTGGGACCATCAATGGTACAGTATCCGGAAAGCTCATTATACGCAAGTGGACCTATTTGCTAGTGTCATATGATACCATGGAATGAGAGGGTCGAAGGGCCACATGTTGGGAGGCACCATCAATCGTAGCACAAATCCGGGTCCCAGTAGGTGTCATGTTAAACGTGTTGACCCGGTCAAAGGAAATGCGGGATACTACCTGGCGCGAAGGTTGCTGTACATACTACGGGGGTTGTAGGTCTAAACCTGATGGAGACGAATCAAACCTTTCAAATGACGCCCTGCAGGTTGCCGGCCAAGGATTCAGACCTGTGGAGTCTATAGCAGACCATACGCTTGGCGAACGAGAAGGTTACGGTGCCACAAACGCATTAGAGTCGCTGCTGCATGAGTGACGTGACACTGGAATGCTTCCGTGTCGTTGGGAACCGTTGAGGCCAGATAATTGTCTCATCGGAGGCGATCATCTCGGAAGTTTCCAGATTCGCGATTGTGCATACTTTGTATTAGCAGGTCAGGTCCGCTTGGGTAACGATGGACAGTGCGGACGCTGATATGGAGATTCCTGTCCGGGATTGGATTTGCTGTCGAAACCGTTGGTGCCTATCATTACACCAACTAGCGGGTGTCGATCATTCGACGAGATTTACCCAACGGTATGCAAAACATGCCTGCAATCGCCGCTGCAAGAGGCCAAGTTAGATAGAAAATGAGATGGCCAAGAGGATCTGGCCAACTCCAAGCATCTGATCGAATTTCTTGATCGAATTCGTGGATGTTGTACAGTCGCCAACCAATTGTGGGCGAGCAATATCTCGACCACCTATTTGTAGTAGGGCTAAAGATAACTTTTCACCGTTATTCGGTCTATCGTGTATTAGTCACATTGATATCATATACCTATAGTTGGGAACCCTATCATGTGGCGAAAGAGTGAGGCGCATATTCATTCACAGTGACATCACCTCAGCCACACTGCGGAGACCCAGCATATAAACACGTTGCAACCAAGGATGCTAAAGCCCATCCAAATACATTGAAAATCACAAAAAGAACATCATGTCTTCCGAGCTTCCAGATATTGTCGGATTGAAGCGTGCCGTGGAAAGCGGCCAGCGCATTGGCCCCGAGGATGTCTCTGCTTTAGCACAGACCGAGAGCGAATTGACCGGTGCTGGGCCCATCAGAGGCGGAACAGCAGGTTTGTCCTTCATTCGTACCTTACACAATCACTCCATTATGTTGACTCGGAGAAAGCAACTGCTCAGAGTCTAGCAATGAAACAGATGAACTTTGACGAAAAATTGGACGAACTCTCCCAGAAGCCCCAAAGCCACATAACCCAGGATGATGCTCGAGAGCTTCATGCCGCGGAGGTAAGCTGACATATCCTTGATATATAGCTCTACGTCCACGTCTTAACTGTGGATTGTTGTAGGGTCGAGCTTTCAACAAACCTCCAGGCGTGGGGTCCATTGCAGCCCAGGCCCGTTCTATAGCCGATCGAAACGAGGCCCTTGGGGTGCCTGCTGTGCCAGGGGAAGCCCCAGTTTATATTACCAAGGAGGATGCGAGTGAAGCGCAGCATGCTGAGTCGACGATATATGGCGGACAGAACCCACGGGGTGGGATTGCGGCACAGATGCAGGTGCGACACAGTTAATGGACTTGGTCTCTTTCGTACCCAGCTGACCAGGACTTAGAGCGCTGCCGATAAGATCGATAATGCGTACCGAGAGTAATTTTCAACTCATCCTGGAGCTTCAATCCGGTAGCTAGGCTCTAGGAGTCGATGTCTTTCATCAATATCTTATAATAGAAAGGTAGTGCCGTGCCACAAGGACATGTGAGCTCAGCTACCTCTACGCATCTGTTTTCTATTATTTCCTTTTGGTTAGTGTATATGATTAGGCTCCTAAATGGGCAATCCATATCACTTATCGTGTGGCAAAGAGGGAAATCTACAGTAGAAGGCATGTAGAATCATACGAATGACAAGAAGCAGTTGCACCTCCTAAAATCTGGTATATTTATCTATGGGATATACGCATCTGGTCTGTCTCAAGTAATTATTTGACGACAGTTTCAACAACAGCCGTGATATATCATTGTCTAAATCATGTATATCTTTGAAACTTTGAATGGATGATAGGTATTTGATTGTTACAATGTTCATAGAGATCAGGTGATGGATTTACGCTTTTTGCTTCCCCCCCTCCCTTATAGTACCATGCTAGTCAGTATCTCCAGTTCATCCACTTCTTGAGGGATCTGTACAAAACACCATTTGGTATTTCCAGTATAGACCCTATTTCTTGACATTCTGATACAGCCGCAATCCTCTGCTCTACCCAAGGATTTGCTATACTCGCCTGCATGTGAGTGGAACAATGGATGTGGCTGCGAGTTGGACGGACTACCGCAGGGTCTGGATGTGAAGGAACCGTGGCATCATGCAATACAGCTTAATTTCTACTGTCTTTTGCTTTAGGACCTTGCTAACTTGCTTGTCTGTCTGAAACAGGTATCCTCGAATTCTAAGACGCATTCATATAATTATGCTGCCTGCGGGGAATGAGCTATTACCATCGAGGCATGTTGCCGGTCTGTTTCATGGCCATAATTCTCCTACCATTTCTCATATTAAACCACAATTTACTGCTAAAGTCCCAGACCAGCCCGGTTAGCTCAATTGGTTAGAGCGTCAGACTTGTTAGTAGCCCTCTAATTCACCTTTAATATGCAAATGCTAATCACCAAACAGTTATCCCAAAGTTCATCTGAATGTTGCGAGTTCGAGTCTCGCATCGGGCGAATATCTTTTTTTACCCAGTCACTAGTTTATGGACTAATGACGCAGGTTGTTTGTTTTACCACGGAAACGACATTAAATTGTGGTCGGCAATACATGCAAATGCTCCAGATGACCGTCGATAATTCCTGCGACCTACCGGGTCGATAATGTTGCTGCTGGTCCACTCCATAATGATGTCCAGCATTCACCTGTAAAGCGCAAATTTGAATATGATCAGTCAGGCACGGAGTAACCTGAATCCCGATAGCTGTGCATATGCAGAGTGATACGCTGCAGCTGCTCATCCCTGAAAAGGAGGTCTCGGCTGAAGTATCAGTCGGCTATTTGGTTCTAGAAACCGAATCGGTGCTGTGTCACTATGGAAGGCTATCTATCAACCATTCAGGCATGGTCGCTGCCAGCCGGTGGTTCGGGTCATCTTCGGGGGTACTGCAGACTCTGCGGGGCTCATGTAGCAAAGCTACGGAGGAAGCACAAGATGCCGGCTTGCAGTTCATATATTAGACCGAATAACCCTAAGGTATCATATCCAACCGGGCCGCTCCATGGCTCAACCATGGAGAAGATATGAAACAGGCAGACGATTGGCTCGATGGAGAAACATGGCGGGTACCTGTCAAAAAGGCTTTCCCAGTATGGTGGAAATTCACGTCTCCGAGGTAGGAGCAGGGATCCCTGGAGATAATCTGATATTGCCCCGCTATCAGACCCCAATGACTGGGATCGGTCAGCATCTCTTTGCTTTCCGGCATCTGTTACATGACTCGGCGTCGAGCAAGTACGGAGTTTCTTTAGACGATTGGGGGTCTTCGATCCGGTCGACCGGGCATTGACGAGCTGAGATAACAGCCAATTCCCTGCTGGACCGCATGGCGCATGGATGTCGGTCAGCGATCGACAGAGTATGCACCCCACCAAGACCTGCAATCTCCTTCAGAATCGGTTGGGACTGGCTCTGGGTCGACCGTGACAAATAATGTCCAGAAAGAGAACTGTCGATTGGTATTTGGAATAACCGTAGCCTGGCGGGACTCAAGGAGCAAGCTTCGATCCAGATGGACAGTTGGCGAGTGGAGCGACTCCGCATTCACGAAACCAGGTGCTGAGCCCGCTGGACAAGCCTGCTGGAAATAGAGTCCGACAACTGACCCGATAGTGCAAGTGAGACACCAAGGAGCTGGAGTGAAGCGCAAACGAGCGGGCCTGAGGCCGGATGGCGGGCGCGAGACCATCAGAGTTCGTCCCGTGACGCAAAGCCCCTCCTTCCATGACAAATTCCCCGGCGGGTCGCGGCCATCCAGCCATTCATCCAGCCATGTCGTCAACGAGAACGGCAGTTCCTTGGATGACAGTCGACGCCGCAAAGGACATGGAGGAAACATGTGAGCCATAAATACTCGCGCCTTCTGCCCCCTTCTCAAAGGTCCTCATTCCGTGAGCACCTTGGTCGCCTCTTTCCCCCCCCCTCCAATCCCCACGTTTCAACCTCATCCAATCAACGCCAGAATGCCTTTGACCGGCCACTGCCTGTGCAAGGCTGTCACCTACTCTGCTGACGTCGACCAGCCTGCTCTGGTTGCGTACGATCACTGTGACGACTGCCAGCGTCAGAGCGGGTCAACTTACTGTGGGTGCTCTCCTACATCGCTGGCGAAATAAACTAACCGTAACAGCCCTGGTTGCCGTGGTCCCCAAGGCAAAGCTCACCATTAAGGGACCTGTCAAGACTTGGTCCGGTAAAGGATCCTCCGGCAATGCGGTGCACCGTCTGTTCTGTTCGGAATGTGGGTCGCCTATCGCCCATGACCCGGATGCTGCTCCGGAGATCATTGCTCTGAAGGCGGGTACTTTGGACACGGAGATCAAGAAAACCCTCAAGCCGGTATGTTCGATGTCCCTGTCATAGCATCATATACTCAATATGTTTTCTAGGACACCGAGATCTGGACGGTCAGCAAGCTTCCTTTCTGCCAGGAGCATCTGGCCAAGCCTTTCGAGCATATGCCTCAGTAAGCAATGCTTATGGAGTGTATGGAAACGCCGTGATATGACAATACTATGAGATGTAGTTAATATGAACAAATTGGATAATTTAATCTGACATTTTGGATATCGTCTCCGCTTAACAAACACATGTAGATGTGCCAGGAAAGGTACGGTCGTACATGGGCATTGCGATACGCGAGAAATAACTCCGCAGCGCGAGAGGCAACAGTTTGGGTTTCTTGAGCACTGACTCGGGACATTATGCCATAGATATTAAAACTGCTGTCTTGGACCTAGGTGGGACCCGAATTCATTGCTTACAGAAATATCTCAGCAATGTCTTCCGGAACGCTTTACGTCAGAGACTCACGCACCAACGTGCAATATGAGATCCCAATCCGGAGAAATGCAGTCGCTGCACTGGATTTCAAGAAGATCAAAGCTCCAGGGATTGGAACCGATCGGGCAGACCAGGTGTCTGGTGGACTCCGAGTGCATGATCCGGGGCTGCAAAACACTACTGTTGTGGAGACAGCTATCAGCTTCTCGTATGAGTCCCTCTGCTATCTGAGCAATCTGACTGTCCTAGAGACCATGAGAGAAACCTGCTTCTCTTCCGGGGCTACAGTCTGGAGCAGCTCTGGGAGAGTGATTTTGAAGACGTCTTGCATTTGCTGGTCTGGGCGACGTATCCGACAGTGCTCCAGAGGAACGACCTGAGCCATAAACTGACAGAGGCTATGCTAGCCGTGCCAGAGAGTGTGCAAAGAACGATCCAGAGTCTTCCGTGAGTAGTTCGAGTGGTTGATGAACACTGACATGATGAAGCCATTAGGCGCACTTCATCCCCGTTGCCGCTCATCATAACTGGCCTTTCCGCATATCTATCTAGCCATCCTGATATGATTCCCACATCGCGTGAGGCAAATCTGTATCGAAACAACCTTGAAGTTGCCGACCGTGCAATCATCCAGACCGTAGCAGTCTACGCTGTGGTGTTTGGCCTTGTGAACAGCCATCGAAAAGGAGTGTCGTTCGTGTCTCCGAAATATGGAAAAACATACTACGAGAATCTTTTCACCATGGCAGGACTTGTTGACCCGAACACCGGCCGGCCGGACCCTGTCAAGCTGTCAAGTTTCCGGCGGTTTGCCATGCTTAATTCCGATCATGGCATGGCCTTGACTGTCTTCTCCGCCCTGACCACGGCGTCATCCTTGACAGACCCAATCTCCTGTTTGATCACTGCCATTGGATCAGCATGGGGCCCACTCCATTTTGGCGCTACGGAATCGGCCCAGCGGACGTTGAAGGAGATTGGCAGCCCTGAGAATGTGCCAGCATATATTGCAAACGTCAAACGAGGACACAAGAAGCTGTTTGGCTACGGCCACCGCTCGTACAAGGGCATTGATCCTCGAGTGCGCCCAATCCGGTCGATCTTAAAGGACATGGATCTGTCCTCTACCAAGCTGCTTGAAGTCGCCGAGCGCATCGAGAAGCTGTGCTCGGAGGATGACTACTTCCAGAAGCGGCGTTTGTACGTGAACGGCGACTTTTACGGAAACTTTATCTTTGCAGCCATGTAAGCATCAACCAGCACCACTGAATGCATGCTGACAAGCGCAGTGGCTTCGAGCCGGAGATGATCCCGGCAGCCATGCTGGCCCAGCGGATCATGGGGATTATGGCGCATTGGCGGGAGTACATGGGTAAGCGAGATGTGACGTGGATCGGGGCTTTCTGACGGCTACAGTGACACGCGGCAAGTTGTTTCGGCCATCGCATATCTATACGGGGGAGGCAGAGAGCAGGCGGTTGCCAAAGATTTGATGTGATAACAGAGAGAAGTGGATAGAGCAATTCAAGGGGCGGTGATTCCAGGAATCCAGCTGGGCCAGGAGTGAAATGCTCCGACTCCACTATTGTAGCTTGGCCTGATATGTACAAAGCGGGTCTGCCGTCTGGTGTGTCGGGATTAGCAGAGATCGTCATGGCCGAGAACCAAGGTCCAGCCAGCGAAACGAGCCCCCTGCTGGGTGAGAGATCAGAGCCATACTCGATCTTCACTACGGCCCAGAAACGCCTCATCATCCTGACAGCTGCCCTGGCCTCCAGCTTCTCGCCTCTGTCGGCCAACATTTACTATCCGGCTTTGAACTCCATTGCAGCTGATCTGGGCGTGAGCAGCTCGCAAATCAACCTGACTATCACCACGTACATGGTACGTCTGCTAATCCCATGGTAAGAAGCACTAACAGACCAGCTATGTCAAGGGGTCGCCCCAGCCTTCATGGGGTCGTTTGCCGACCAAGCCGGCCGTCGTCCTGCCTATATTCTATGCTTTGGGATCTACATTGTCGGAAATCTCGCCCTGGCTCTGCAACACAGTTACCCGGCCTTGTTGATCCTGCGTGCCATGCAGAGCTGTGGCAGCAGCGGCACTGTGGCACTGGCCTCTGCCGTTGCAGCCGACGTGATCACATCTGCTGAGCGCGGCACGTACATGGGCATCACCTCGCTGGGGATCATCCTGGCTCCGTCGGTAGGTCCTCTGCTTGGGGGGCTGTTGAGCCAGTACCTCGGCTGGCAGGCCATCTTCTGGTTCCTGGCTATTGCCTCCAGCATCTTCTTCTTGCCGCTGTTGCTCTTCTTTCCCGAAACATGTCGGAATATCGTGGGTGATGGATCTATCGTGCCGCAGGGATGGAACCGGTCCGTCCTGGTCTGGTACCGACAGCAGCACTCACCTGGAAGCCCCCTACCTACATCTCCAGTGAAGGAGAGGATTGCCCTGCCTAATCCCCTCTCCACCCTGCGTCTGCTACTCCACCGTCCCACTGGTTTCGTCCTCCTGTCCAATGGACTGCTCTTCGCCAGCTACTACGCCGTCACGGCCGGCATTCCTTCGCAGTTTAAGGATCTCTACCAGATGAATGACCTTGCCATTGGCCTGGTGTTTATCCCAGCCGGCATTGGCTCGCTACTGAGCACGACCTTTAACGGGCTGATT